GTGTCTGTCCACACGAGACCGCTCCGTTTAGCTCCAACCGCTGGAGAAGCTGCAGTACATATGCAGGAGCCTGTACGTGGCGATGTAACTTCCTCCACAAAAGCAGCGAAGAAGCATGGTTGTCATGGTTGCCCTTCTGTTTATTCTCCGCGGTGGGGGCCGAGGGAACCGGGCAGAATTTCTCGCCAGTCAACGTGTATTAAAGTTGAAATCTTCCGACAAAATTATAAAAGTGCCGGTCAAAGGTCTTCTTTGTTATTTATTGAGCTTTAAAACAAATGAATAACGAATCTATATATTATAATAATAAAATACACGGAGCCTCTCTTTTTCCTCCCTCTCTCGGACAGCGCCAGTGTCTGTTTCATGCAGCAGCTGATCCAGTAATGAGTGACCCGGCCGACAGTAAAAATAAACATATTTATATCTAGTTTAGGTAGTTTGAGAGGTAATTAAAATAGCTAAGGGTGATGATCTGACTGAAATGTGTGTTTTACTCCGTTCACCGCGGCATCACAGCGGGAGGGGCTGCAGGTAAGCAGAGCTGCGTGTCTCCGTCCTGTCAGATTAGACTTCACTCGCGTTTAGGTCCATATCGAGAGAAAGATAAATAATCTGAATTCAGTGTGCAGTTTACTTTGACGCGGGGGTGAGCATCAGAGGTGGGGAGAGGCGGGGCTATTGCCTCATCATTATCAGAAAATGATCGTATAGGGCGCACACACGGAGCCGTAGGACCCCCCAGAGCGTTGCGTATGCCGTTCTATCCACCTTGGGACCCGTTATCGTTTACGCAGTCGTTTAGTGCCGTATTCGGTCGTCCTCGTGTGGCCTAACGGTCTATATGACACTAAACAGTAACGCAAACGACCGTTTTCGTCCTCGTGTGGCCGGGGCATAAGTCAGACAGCCGATGTGAGATGAGCCCTGACACTTTTAGTTCTGCTTGGCTGGCCACCGCTTATCCTAAAGGGATTCTTGTTTTTCTTTTTGTGTGCAGGGGTTTTAAAAAGGCACTATCATGCAAAAAAGATAGGTGCTGGCATTTAGTTAACAAAACTGTTTGGCTTAGTGACAGGGAGAAAAAGTACTAAAAACGTGTCGAGCTTGAGGGGTCATCCCGTGACACAGTTGTTTAAGACAAAAACCTCATGGCCTTCACGTTTCTTCTTTGTGGTCAACCGCAAATAGTTACATGACAGCAAATGTACAAACTATACAGAGAAAAGCTTTAATTCATTATTCTGTCTCTGTACATTAATGAAGTGGTGTAATGTGCCTCGGATAGGGTAACATTTGTCCCTAAAGTAGGAACATTTTCAACTGGATGCCAAGGACCAATTTGTTTTTGCCAAAAATCAGCGGCAGCAGGGGCGGCGGGTGCTGTAGGCTAGGGAAGGCTAAGCCTTCCCAAATATTTGTGTAACTGCATCCTGGTAAAATAAAAAAATAATGTATAATGTGTGTGTCTTTGACATTAGCGCTGCTATGCAGCCACATGTGCCCTGTACGAAGCCAGTTCAACAGACCCTGGATATGTTTGAGTTATCTTAACTAACCATAACAAACGAGATTTCGCTAAGTGGTCTATGAAGCTGGTTATCAACTCGGTAAATTAAGCCAGGGTTTCTCTCTCCAGCTGAGAACGCGTTCACGTGAAAGGGGCGGGGTTAGCTACATTTGACCAATCACAAACAGGGACAAGTGTACTGACAGCGCAGCGTCATACTTCATTATAGAAAAGTAAACTATTATTAGACAAATATTAACTTTAAACATCCATGATGACTTAAACATATAATCCAGGATACAAGCCACATAGTTGCACCTGCAAGGAGAATACAGAACAACTCGTTAAAAAATAAACTACAGAGTGTTTGAAAACAGTTTTATGATACTGCCCCACCTAAGACACGAGTGGATCTGACTTTAATTACATTTGAGTTGAGTGTTTCGTCAACTTAATGTGTTGCTTAAAATAATACGTCTGCATACAGTATATGTGACAATGTAAGTGTTGCACGGCCAGATACGGCTCGAGAAGCTGACTGAGATAAGGAAATATTGTGATATTATATGATCGATGATCTGATTGATGATGTGATATCAGTGTGATATGAATGATAAGGGCGACACGTCGACGTCTTCTCTGCATACGGCAGTTTAAACTGTATTTCCTTTATCCTGTAATATGACTAGATAGATTTAAACTCCGCACACTGAGCTCTGATTGGTCAGCAGGCGGTGCTTTCACTGAGTTGATATCTTTCCTATAGACGCCGGAGGCGGGCAGCGTCAGATAAAAAAAAGTTATTTAGCCTTCCCAAACCTGAGCCTCACGCGCCGCCTATGAGCGGCAGATTGTTTATCTATATCTTACAAAAAGTTATTTTGACATCTGTCTGTTATTGTCAGTGTTGTGCTAGTTACTGAAAACCAGTAACTAGTTACCATTACTAGTTACTTCATTTCAAAAGTGACTCAGTTACTTTACTAGTTACGTACAAAAAAAGTAATGCGTTACTGTGAAAAGTAACGTTTCCGTTACTTAAACAAAGGGCTCCCATTAATGCCCTTATAGCCTTCATTTCAGTACTGTTATTGCATTGGAGAATAATTCAATCTGTTGATCAACTTGACATGCATTATATGCAATCTGGATTGCATCGATATTAGCTGGCTTTCCATTTTTGTATATTCTTTCTCCAGATAGTTGGAAAAAGTTTTCCGTCCCATATGCCGTGTGCCGCCCGGACATGGTATCATGCTAACTAGCTCCCTGAAAGCGGGTGACTCCACTGTAGCAATAGCCTGCATGTGTTCTACAACATACCGTGCAATGGCTTTATCGACTTTTCCCTGGCCAGCAGTCCCTTGGTTAAAATCCAGCCGCTGTTGCTTAGGTGGAGGTGGAGTGGGCGTCGGCTGAGTCTCTGTGGTCTTAGCTACTAGCTTCGTCCCAGCATGTTGTTTTTGCAGATGTTTTAAGATATTTGAATTACTGGTTTGGGCAGTAGATAGGATCTTTGACCCGCCAAGACACAACTTACATTTAACTAAAACGTTATTTTCTTTGTGCTCGACAAAAGTGAAATAGTGAGAATATCTCCAGGTGGAGAAACTAGACTTGAGCTCCGCCGCCGCCATGATAGTCTTGTTAGTAAACAACACAAACACGCCCACAGCCCGTCTCCGCATGTGACACAGGAAGTATCTAAGTACATTTACTCAAGTACTGTACTTAAGTACAGTTCTCATCTCTGTTCGCCTGGCTGTTGACTATATATAAAAAACTAACGCAGTAACGGAGTAACGCACCATGTAGTAACGGTAACTGAGTTACTGAATTTAAAAAGTAATGCGTTAGAGTACTAGCTACTGCCAAAAATAACGGCGTTACTTTGTAACGTGTTACTTTGGAACGCGTTAGTCCCAACACTGGTTATTGTTCTACAAATGTTGGGCAATCAGTGCACCTTTGCAACTCCCTGCAAAACATGCTTAGGCAACAGGACTACTTGGTCAGGTTAAGGAAAAGATGGTGGTTTGGGTTTTTATAACCTATTTACATGGCCTTACTTCAGCATGTAAGTCAGGTCACAAAAGTTATAACTCAACATTAACCATCAAACAGTGTCATGGGTTAAAAAAAACTGTACTTGTTATACCCATAAGGGCACCCAGACCTTTTCACTATGCTCTGTAAACTGTATACTCTTAAACATTTGAATTGTATAGTTGCTATACTGGTTTCTGTCTCTCATTACTGTTATAGTTCATACTGTAAATAACTTTCTGTACATCACTAACAAAAAATAGTTTTTTGTTTGGTATTATTCTCAATTTCTGTAATTTTCTTTTAAGTTGAGTGTACCGAGACGCCTTTTTTTTAGGAATATATCAACTACAGACAGTACATGAAGAGTAACACCTGACAGGTACAGTGTGTCTTCTGTGCCACTGCTGCTAACATTCATCCATGCAGAACCAGAACTGGCACATTGACACTCTGCCTCTGTGTCCCAATCTCTGCTTCAGGCAGCATGCTGGCTTACATACATGTGTATAGCTCACAGGTTAATAGGTAAATATAACTGGTATTTAAAACTTAAGCGGGTAAAATGAACAAATATTACCAACTGCCTTTGAGTTGCCATTCATCAAAAGAACAATCCCCCAAATGCTCCAGGTCGGCAGCTTCCAGGTGTGAATATGTGTCTTTATATAAATGTTAAGCACATGGTGGGTGGAAAAGAGTGTTTTCTCAAAGGAAATCTTTCTCTGTGTGAAATATTCATGGTTTGATGAGTTTCATAACACCCCTGCTGGTTCCAAAATGTTAACATGATCATTACCAAAAAATATTAAACATTATTCTCTTCTGTCTAATCCTCTAACCCTCTTATTGTCAGTGCTGGGATAACATTGTTAGGTGAGGGAGTTGCACTTGATTAAGAGCCATGTGATAATTTAATCAACATGGTTTAACAACTCTTCAAAACATTACAAAAAACTGATGGCAATCTGCCCATTAGAAAAATAGCAGAAGAAGACAGCTCATGAGGTGTCTAATTAAAAAAGGGTTGATCATCTGGGGAGAATTAAGGTTCTCATATCATTTAATACTGTTGGGATCATCCCCAGAGAGCCATGCATATGACTATTTTCAATAAAATCAGTCCTTATATTTCAAGACACATTCTCATAGCGTTTGTCCAGGGCAAAAGGTGAAGCTTGTGGTGGCACCATAATCATGAACGATACATTTCTTAGGAACATGAATACACATAACAGTCTGGCCAGTAATGTTTTGATATCAAAGACATTAACTAACAAAACAAACAACTAACAGGAAATCCTGAAGCCTTGCAACTAGGAGGATATAGCTGAACGTAGGAGATAAGATTGAAAAGGATGATGAAGAACATGTACGCAAAAACACAGAAAATCAAGATTATACTTTAAAAACGTCAACAAGTATGAAAAGCATATAGACTCACGCTGTAGAGGATTTCCGACCAGCCCTCCATGGTGATGCACTGGAAAACTGTCAGCACCGCAAACCCGATATTGTCAAAGTTGGTGATGCCAAAGTTGGGTCCCTTCCAGTATCCTCTGCAGATGGTCCCATTCGGACACAACCTGGCCGGAGGCTCCAAGCCACAAGGCCAGTCTGCTACTATCTCATCTGACACAGAGAAAAAATAATTAGGGAAAGAGAATTAGATCGATAGGCAAATGTACATATTCAGGTCCTTTTAAACTTCTTCTTACTGTGTCTAATGGATAGACAGATGGTAGGAGCCAAGCCACAGTAGGATTAATAGTGAGATCTCAAAGTACTATAATTATTTAAAAGTTTTTTTTTCTCATGCCTCCATTTGAAAAGTTAACAGAAAGTTAACAACAGCAAAACTATGTTTGCTGAGAACTTCCAAAACAAATGCATTTTCGCTCAAATGTTAGTGAGTAAACAGTCTCTCGCTACTCCTCCAGACTTCTACATTTAAGTGTTTTATATGGCATAATACTAAGGAAAATGCATTCAAGGTACAAAGGGTGAGTCATTCAAATACAAATGTTAATTTAAAGTGTAAAGCATTCTTTTAAGCCACTGAAATGATTGCAGTACTCCAAATGCTAGCAGGTTTTATTCGGGTCCTATCACCTGCAACTTTCTTTAGCTGCCTTATATTGCCCTGATATATCCCATGATCTCTTAACTACTAATCATAAGTCATGCCGATAACACCTCCATAGGGAAACATCTAGGAACATCCTCCCTGGTGCCCCGCCCACATAGACTTCTTCTTCTCAATAGAGACCATTGACCTATGGACCTTATCATGCAGAGTGTGACTGCAGCCTCATTCTGTCAGTCATTGCACAAAGCCTGGACCACAGGTGAAGGCCGGCACAGCGATGGACAGGTGGATCTGGAGCTCTGCTGTGGCTTGGCTCTCTCTTCAGCAGCAGGCTCCAGCAGAGCGGCACTGTTATCGCAGCTGCGGCACCCGGCCAGCAGCCATTAACACAGCCTCTCATCTTCACTCACAACATCTGGAAGTAAACTATTGGCTCCTTTCCCCATTTATTAAACATACATAAATATGCTGTTAATGGGTTCTTATTTCAGTTGAATTATTCCACTCCATTGATGGTGCGGGTGGAAGTTATTGGTACTTTAAGATAGTGCTAACACATGAGGGATGACATCTAAGTTGTACCTTATCGGAGTGACTGGGAGAATTGAAGATACCATATGTTCAAAGGGTGGTATTATTTACCCCAAATACAAACAAACAATTGATGAACTTATGTAACAAAGTTGTGGGCACCAAACTGAATAACATTAGCTAGTAATGACAAAGACTGCACACAAAGATAAACATCTAAAATGGCAGATCAAACAAATAGTATGTTTGCAATTAACCACAACAGGAAAGTAACATAGTCTAATTAAACTAAAGACCGAGATCTTAGTTATACTTGCTCTACATCTTTCTTTCTATCCAGTGGAGCATACTTGTTGAGCGTACAAGTGCACACAGATACACAGTAGAAGATGCACACTTCAGGTAATGAAGTAAATCAAGATGATCTAGTATTAAACTGCACTATACGTATGTTTCTTTGTCTAAAACTTGTTTTTATACTCTGTCGTCCTCCCAACACAAAACGTTGTACTACAAACAGCACAAATGCCAAAAACATCAAATAGGATATGACTTGTAAGCAACAATAAACAAAAACCTGATAAAGATGTGTTTTTCAGTGAGTTTACAGAAGTTGTGTTTTCAGGGTTACGTCAGATCAAAGTGAACTTTATTGTCACTCTTCTGTTTGTGTGATACAGACAGGGAGATCGAAATGCTGTGTCTTCCAATCCAAAGGTTATCGAGGTAGTGGTCTAACTAAGTGAGATGTGTCACTATGTGCTTGACTGAGCAGGGATTATAAGGTTACAGGGAGGAGGGAAGCAGAGAGTTATTTTAAAGGATGAGCTGGAACACACGTCAGCAGATGGGGATCAGAATAAAGTATAACAGATGCCATGTGCACCCAGAGTTTCATGAGGGATAGTGCCATGATCACAGACCCTGCCAGGTTTTAAACGATGATTTGGAGAGCCAGATTGCACAGCCAACATCCCTCTGATGTCACTGCAGTAAAATGTGTCCTTTCCCTTTCCTTCGTACTGACAGGTGCTGCGTCAGCCGGAGTCAGCATCCACGGGCGCTACAGGAGCATCTCAGTTCTCTACTTTCCTCTATGAGTGCTGTTTCTAATGTATTGGGGCCAACATTTATTAATGAAACATTTAAAAAGGTGGAATGTCATTGTGACGAAGGTAACTTCGTCACTATGGACTGACGGCTTCAGGCCGGGTAATATTGCACTTTATTAGCGTGATTGCACAGTACAGTTGACATTACATATTTGGACATAATTCATACTAATTATTGAGGTAGTATCTTTTAACTGATTAAACCGTATTTATTGGAATGTTGTCTGGCAGGTGCTGGTCGGGTCCTCGGCTCCGCCTGGAAAGATAGGGGAGTTTGCGAGAGCGCCGAGAGGAGTTATGCTGGTGTAAGGATGACAGCGGTTGAGTAATTTTTGTACGTTCTGCCTCTGCCTCCTTGCTTGGTCTGGGCCGCTCAACGGTCAGTCTCACAGTCATATATATTTAAAATAGTTTTTTTTCCATAATAATTTTATGTTTTATAATATTTGTTGTTTTATTAATGGAAGTTGGTCATACAAAAATTATGGAAATGTTTCTTAAAATGCTTTTGTGTTTTTAGTTCAACTCTGAGCCAGTAGGACATACCACCATAGAATATCACTCCTAATATATTCTGAGGGTTTTTAACAGTGGGGTTTGTTCAGTTATCATTCAGCCTGATTTATAAAACAATGTCTTTTTTTTAAATTATTTGTTAAGTAATAGACAGAGATATCAGAAAGTCCCTGAATCTGGCTTCAACCAATGTGTATATTAGTTTTTCAAAATACATACAATGGACCACACATTTGATAAGACAATGCCTCATTGTTGAAGCCAGATTCATAATTATTGTTTCATTGGCAAAGCCTCAGCCGATAAAATAACAGAAGAAGAAACCATTTCCTATTTCCCAAAAGACAAACAAACCAAGCTCCTCAACAACCTTGCACTCAAGTGAAAGGGAAGCCAATGAATTCACACTTGAAAAAACACAAACATGCTCAGACATGCGCACACACACACACACACACACACACACCACACACACACACACACACACACACACACACACACACAACACACAGAAGAACCTTTAAGGTAAGAAGTTGTCACCAGCGCTGCTCAGATTAATCAAACCCTGCTGTGTTTCTGGACTAAAATAACACACGTACTGTACATTAGCAAGCTGTGACAACTACACACACACACACACACACACACACACACACACACACACACACACACACCACACACACACACACACACACACACACCACACACACACACACACACACACACACACACACACACACAGAAGAACCTTTAAGGTAAGAAGTTGTCACCAGCGCTGCTCAGATTAATCAAACCCTGCTGTGTTTCTGGACTAAAATAACACAATAACACACGTACTGTACATTAGCAAGCTGTGACAACTGCTCACACCACACACACACACACACAGACTGATGGACATATCCACATTGTTTTACAGCTGGGCCAGCCAATAGCCCTGCAGGCTCGCCTTTCACACTCTCTCTGTCACCAGCAGTTTTTATCACTTCCTCACACAATGGGTAATTTCATTCGAGCCCACTGATTGTGTTCTCTATAATTACTATAATGCTTTATATAATAATACCACTGCGATAGTAAACTGGCTGTGACTGATGAGAAATGGGTTTTGTTGATATGCTAACTCACACACAAGGGTGAGGCTTTTTCTGTCTGCCTCTCCCTCCTCTAGGTCAGTTAGTTTTGAGGGTCTTTAGTTAGTCTTAGGTGTTCTGTAGGTTTTAAATGTAACTATACACATGATTGTGTTCCTATTTTTGATTTTTATCAGTTGTAGTATTAGGGACCTTTTTCTCGAGCTTCAGATGGCGTATCAGGTTGTCCTATTTCACATATATCCATTATCTCTCATGTTTGTTTGTTTGTTTGTGAATGAAATGAGTTGAATAATTAATTGATTCTTGGATAATAAAGATTGCTGGTGGAAATTGATTTGAAACTGGATTTCTGTTTGCTTGTTTCTTTACTTCCTATTAGCTCTTGATTTTGTTGTAATGAATGATTGTCAAAACAGGTGTGAACTAAACCTTGTAATGGTCTTGTAAATCCTCCCGCTGCCGATACATCAAAACACATTCAAAATGTGTACAAAAGTTGAAACTCTACAGTATGTATACTTCCTTCTGATGTAGGAGACAGAACTAGTGGATTGTAACCTCATTGACACCGTCTGAGGTAGCGTTCGATCAGGGGGCAGGGAGCATGAGAATTCATATCGAGATACAGTGGAAGCTATCAATCAAAACCTGAAGACTGTGAAATACCATTCATTAAAATCAAGATGTGAAAAATGGCTGTCAGAAATTCTGCTGTGCACATTGTGTGTTGCGTTGATATAAACACGCTGCCTGCCAGCGCTGTGAATGTGCAGCCACTCCTAAGCCGAACACAAACATACATACACGACTTATGAATCATTTATGTACGCCTGCATCCATATGCGATGCAATATTTGTTCTCGTGCGTAAAAAATGTTCGGCTGAAACTTTCTCCTGGCATTAACATGTTTACTTCAAGATTTGGCTCTCACCATCTATAAAGCAGGTGCTGTGGAATTTTCCCATGTAAAACTCCACCCCGATGATGGCGAACATGAGGATGGCGAAGAAAAGCAGCAGGCCGATCTGAAGCAGAGGAACCATGGCTTTCATTATGGACTTCAACACCACCTGGAGACCTGAGGGACAGAAAGACGAGGGAGAGGGGGGAGGGAGTTAGAGGGGCTGTTTCAAAGGATTATTAAGGTGTATTCTACCTTGGGTCTTATATGAGTTGTTTTGTCTATCACTACATTATTTATAACATTGTACTCAATCATAAAAATGCTGAGATCTGGGAACACAACAACATTGCTCCAATTAGGTAGAAGTTGGCCCGTAAACTCTGATCGTCTGACTAGAGGGGATATTATGCTACTCCAGTGATTAAATATCACCTGCTGTATGGACATAATGGTCCAACTACACAAGTTGTAATAAATGCAAATAAGCCTTTAAGAGGAGAAACCCTGAAAAGGGTGACATTTTAAATGAATAAATATCAAAATGATATTTCTTACATGAAGGCAAGTCTTCTGAAGTTGTATGATACAATGTAAAAATGAGGCATTAACTTGCTCACTTTGGATGAATTGGGAGCAATAGAGTAAGTTTGATGGGGTCTTTCTTATCGTTTCTCTGAACTAAGACATGTTAATGAAGCAAAAAAGCCCCAAATCTCTGCGTGAAATACTTGATTTAGACCCATGCTTGGTGTTATTCAGTTTTCTCTTGCAAACTTCCCAATAAGACAATCCAACACTAGTTTAAATCAGTTGGAAATAAAGTAAAGAAGTAATCAACAGTTCGTACAAGCTCAATCTTCCATGGTACACGTATTGTGTAAATATTTGTATGATTTTGAGTGACTTACTGGGGATTCCTGACACCAGTTTCAGGGGCCTCAGCACTCTCACTGCTCGCAGGGTTCGCAGGTCGAAGTCTGTACCCACCGTGGCTAGGATTCTGTAAACACACACACATGGACGGTTACACAACATTTCACTGTAGCATTAAAAAATCACAGCATATGTTTGCAAGTAACAATGACTTCCTGTTTCATTTGCTTTTGTTTCTTTTTCAAACATGCAAATCATACTCTTCAGAGCCCAGTGACACGTTATAAAGAAAAAAAGTAGTGGTTACGAAACACAAATATATTGAATTTCGCAATAAATAAAACAGAGAGGAGCATGTTTACACACACACACACACACACACACAACACACACACACACACACACACACACACACACACACACACACACACAGCATATAGGTTGATCACGTGACGATTACATCATGCGCTGAATATATCTGCTTTCCACCTACAGTACAAGTGGAGGAGCGACCTACTGTGGCACGTCCTTGTGTGTGGTGTGTGTGTGTGTGTGGTGTGTGTGTGTGTGTGGTGTGGTGTGTGTGTGTGTGTGGTGTGTGGTGTGTGTGTGTGGGTGTGTGTGTGTGTGTGTGTGTGTGTGTGTGGTGTGTGTGAGAGCCACAGAGACACAGCTGGCAGCCCTCATTACAAGCTGTACACAGAGGAGGAGACTTAAGTGCTCCTCTGAAACATTAAAAAAAAAAAACCGTGCTCGAGGCTACATGGGGAGAAGCGCAGCCGGGAATAATAGTTTATCTGGAAAAATCCTGAATCTGGAAAAAAGCGAGGGCCATTAAGACACACCTTGTTTAATTAGGCGTAGATTTACATATTTAAAAGGTGGATCATTTATTGTTATTATCATTTTGAAAAAAACCACTGAAACACTGAAATGGATTTTCATTTTGTCCAATCCGACGAACAATGCTGCAGACATGTAATGGATTGAGAGGTCAGAGTGGATTGATTATTAGACTAAATTGCCAGCTGTTAGTTTTCCCTCAGCTAAACAAAAAACTGCTGATTTACGGCATTTTTTTAAAAACGCATTTCAGTGTAAATTACATTATTCATCACATCCCAAATGATTATGTTTTTTAAACCTCTGAGTTAAGAGTTAAGTACAAGCAGGAAGACAATCCTCAAGGGTACAATAGCTTTTATATGGAGGGTAGAACACACTCACACGCCTGCAATGCCACACACACACAGAAAAAGTGGAAAACAAGAAAGGTCGCTTAATGCTCCTTGGTTACCAGTTGGCATGGTAACCGATAAAGCACATCTGTGGGAATGGGAATTATCATTATGGGTGAAATCAGGCCGCTGGGATGGAAGTGGCTGCTATGTAATATACTATATTGTTATATACATATTTCATGCACAGGCTTTGCATTAATCAAATTGTCAGACAGTGATGGATTTCCAAAGGCTCCATTTTAATATGTTCTTATTACCCTTCAACATACAAATTGTGAGACCCATTTATCAAACTGTTTGGAAATGGAACCCATCTTAAAGAATAGGAAGTGAGAGAGCTGACTAAAAGATGAAATATTGATGAGGGCTGTAAAGACTTAAATTAACATCATCTCTCCATGATGCTGAACATCAAGTTGTGACTCTCCAATATGCTATACCAGTAGCTGCTGTCAGTTCAAGGCTGCCAAAGACTTTGAGATGCAATACAGCCTCCTTATGCTCACAATTAGAGAATACTGTATATGTGTCCATTTCTTATATGAAGATAACTGGATATAGAGTTGATTGATTAGGGAGGCAGACAGTGTCCACAGATTTAAGAGTAGGCTGAAGACTATCCTCTTTAGTACAGCGTACAGTTCAAACTGGTTATAAACTCCCTTTTAAACATCCTCATGGACCCTTCATTTTATGGAATTATTATTAATAATCCCATAAAATGAATGAATTATTGTATTCTAACTGTATTTGTGTCATTGTGTTTTGTACCCATTCATTGGTATTTTGTATGTATCTTGTCATTTTACTATATTCTCAGATATGTTTCTTGTTTTTACATTATTATTCATTTAGTTTGTGTTTTGTGATATTAGGCTATATAAATACATTTGAATTTAATGTAATTGAGGGACTCCATTCATTCCAATTAAAGTTGCCCAGTGGCAAACAATCGAAAAAGGCTTAAAGGTCCCATGTCATGGCCATTTCTACTGATCATAATTCCATTGTTGAGGTCTACTAAAATAAATGTATATTGTGCAATTTTCCAAACTCACATTGGTTTCTCATACAGCATCTCTGTATAGTATGTGTATTCACTCTCTGTCCTAAACGGCTTGTTGGAGCTCCTGCCCCCCCCCCCCCCTCCCTGTGAGCCCAGTGGCCGTCTGCGAGACAGCGTGACACAGCGAAACCAGCCCGAACACACACACACACACACCCGCAGCCTGGCTGGGAGTTTGTGTGTGTGCCCAGGCTGAGTTCCGTGGTGTCTCGCTGTCTCGCCGACCCCACACCAGTGAGCCAGCTCACAGTGTCCCACCCCTCGCAGCAGCGAGCCTCACAACGTCCCGCCGAGTGTGTGTGTGTGAGGAATTCCGCAGATTGGTCCAAACGTAACGGCTACGTTACGTCACTACACCCGAAATACGTCACTATACCCAATAAGTAAACAATGGAAAAAGAGAAATCCCCAACGAGGCGTTCTGGGGCAGCATAGACAGGTCTTTTCTGTGTTAGAGTTTTATTCGCAGGTGACTCTGCAGACCGTTTACATGCATAAAAAGCTACATAACGGGGGACGGGTAATAACCGGAAAAGCATGACATGGGCCTTTTAACGAGTGATACAATTTATGCCATGAGGAGTAGATCATGTAGATTTCTTAAAGTAACATTTGGAAAAGAAACTGATAAGTACTTTGCAAAAACTATAGAGAAACTTAGAATAATGGACCCATCCTTCCTCCCAAAGCATTCAACCTAAGGAAAGACTGAACAACCAAGCAGAATACCTTTTAGCCTCACCCTAACTAACACTTACGGCCCGTCCACACTACAGCTTCGACAGCTTCAAAAACAGTTTCCAACGCGTCTGCCAATTCACTTTGAATGGGGTGACGTCACTTTTCGCCGAACTGCATTGTGGGAAGCAGAGCGGAGCTTTCCTGGCGTTTCAGGCTGCAAAAGTTGAGCAATGTTCAACTTTTGAAGCTTCTGAAGCTTTCGGTGGAAGCGTCAGCCAATCAAATCATATGCCAGTACAAGCTCTAGCCAATCAAACCGCTGCTTGTGTGTCAGGGGCGGGAGATTCATGTGATTGGTTGTTGGTCGAGCTTCAGACACGCCGAGCTCCAAGCTTTTTTTGAAGCTGTAGTGTGGACGGGCCGTTAGGATACACCAAGCCACAAGGTAACCTACCAAAACACTGAGAAACGGGTAACCACCTAGCAATACCTAGCAAACTCTGTCATATTGAGCTTTTATAGCTGCTTTATATAATACAAACACTTCAGAATTACTGTAAATAGTGTTGTAATGGGAATTATATAAATAAAACTCTTAGATACCAAGATAATACTAGACAAATGAAAGAAAAGCAGGAATAGTCTTTTCACTGTATTCAAAGCAACAGTGACCTGTAGGAGCAAAATGAAGAGGTTATAAAACATGAATCATCCCTCTGCGCAGTTTTATATCCTCAACAATCAATAACTCACTTTGTTCTGCTAAGTGCGCACATGTATGTGTGTCCGTGTTCATGTTTGCCTGAGAAGAGATGATTTGATGACTGCAGACAGACAGTCGGGCAGGGAGCAGGCTGGAGAAGAAGCCATGAGTTTTAATATCCCTATATCATCGGCACAATATATCGATGTGGGCGCCAGACACCGGCACAGGAAATATGGAGGGTGATGCTATCGTCTGACACACACACACACACACACACACACACACACACACACACACACACACACACACACAACACACACACACACACACACACACACACACACACGCACACACACACACACACACACGCCACTTCTCTTTGTTTCATCACACACAGGTACAACCACCAAAGGATGTCTGAGCAGATAGCTTTTCTGGAGAATAAATAAAATAGGCAAATACATTTACTAAGACACATTCATACACACGTGATTTTGAAATTGGTGTACAAATACACACACAAGAAAGAACCCATTTCCTGTGTGCTTCATCAAATATATATCCAGCTGCGATTCAGCTTTTCTCGCAGGAACACAAATAGAACGTGAACTATTTTAACCTTGAAGAAACAATGGCAGAAAAATACTGAGAGATAAGAGTGACTCATGCTGTGGGAGGGAACACACTGGTCTGGTTTTCTATTCATCCATGAAAAAATACATGCAAAAAATAAAATGACTGGTGGAAAGCTAGAGAACTAAGTACAATACTGATGCTAACGAGTGTTTAAACTGGCAACTCTCCACTAACAAGTCAGCCATTACAAGTTTCAGGGGGAAAGGACAGGACTTCTTGTTTGGACAGCTTATTGTTGATTAAAATGTGAAAGAAAAGTTTTACATTTTAGGAAATAAATGTACCACTGGGCAGGTACAAAAATTAACCAAATTTCGAGAAAAACGACAAATGAAAATGAATGATTTTTAACTATCGTTATGCAATACTTGGTGTTGGTGGAGATAAGCTGTAGGTGGCTTCAATCCTCCGGTCAGGAAACCATAACACCACTGCAGAAGAAGTGGCTCTGTCAAAATGTAAAAAAACAACAACCTGACAGCATATTTAAAGCTCAGTAATCATGAAGTTTTATCCTGTTTTATTAAGTCGTACAAAATACTACAGATTTGTGCTGGTATGTGCATTTTTTTGAACATTAGAGAGAGCCACAATCTTACTTAATTACTTCATAGGGTCAGAAAACAGCGGAAATGAAAAACAAACCGAGTTAAAAAGCGGTATAGCTGAGAAAAAGAGAGGAGCAGCGCGCCCTCCTCTTGAGGCTGAGTGATGTAGTTTAATTACTGCGAGTGTGCGACCCTGCCCAGCTGGGGGCCGGGGGCTGTGATTGAGTTCTTCACACATCCTGGTATGAG